TCTCTCTCTCTCTCTCTCTCTCTCTCTCTCTCTCTCTCTCTCTCTCTCTCCTCTGAGCATCACTCCTGACAAACGGACAGATTAAATAACACACCGTGTCGTCTCCTCTCTGATGCGCACTGTGATTCATCAACCACCGCTTGCTCGTGAGAGAGAGAGAGAGATCTCAGCTCGGATGAGTTCATTTTAAGGGGGCTGGTCTGAGTGTTTGGTCGTGGGCCCTCGGATGCCCCCCCCACCCCCCCCACCCACTCCTCATCCCGCGTCTCGACGGACCTGAACGCCGCAGCAACAGCAGCATCCAAAGAAACTGCGTTTTCCTCCGCCGCCGAAGATGGATGTGGAGCGTTGAAGCTGGCGCCGCCGCGCGCTCGGCCGCTGGACTGTGGAGGAAACACGCGGACGTTATAAGGGATAACAGCAAAGACGTTGTGCTTATAGGATTTTTATTATTATTATTTATTTAATTTGAAAAAAGGAATCAGCTCGTTTGGCCAGCCTGACGGATGTAAAGGAGCTGGATAACTATCGACACCCATCATCACCATCATCATCGTCATCTGGGGCCGGTCTGAACGCGATGTCAGAGGTAAGCTCGTTTCATTCCGGGGGGTTTGTCTGTCGGACACTGCGGCTCATCACCCGGCTGCACCGCCAGTGTCCTCTCCTCCGCGTGTAGCTGCCGCTGCTGCTGCTGCTGTTTTCAGGTCTGCTCACCTGTCGCCTCAGCAGCCCTGCAGCTGCTGGATGGAGGAACTTATTATGTCACGTCCACAGTCCGGTGTGGGGAGGAGAAACCACCTCAGACTGGATCTGGTTGATCCTGCATGGTCTCTGTTTTGTCCAGAATGACATCAAAATAATCAAAAAAAAAATATGTCGAACTTCTTATACCTCAGAAGAAATTGATTTGTGTGCAGTTGCTTGTCTTTTTGGAGTTTTGGTTACTTTTAAGGATCAAGCTGTGTGTTTCTGTCCTTGGTTCTCCTCAGCTCCTGTGATGCTGAAGATGGGTCTGCAATCGATTTGAGGCCTCTTTCTCTAACAGGACTTTCCTCAAATATAAAAAAAAAAAAACAACATTTAATTTGTTGGTAGAAAGGTGATTAATATTTCAAGCACTGCTCAATGGGGCTGTAAATCTGTGGATGGCTCACTGAGGGGTGTCAGTGTGCTGTGCACTGACAGTGTGGGCTGGATGGTGAGTAATCAGTGTTTCTGCTTCCTGGCTGCCCTTTTTACACGAGTACAACACGGCTGGTAGCAGAAACTCAAGCTCATGCAGTCTCAGTGTGGGGCAGTGCAAACACAGAACAGGAGTGTGGGGGTCTCCTCTGTTGGTGGGCCACTGAAGCAGCTCTGTGGAGTCGGTGTCACATCTGCTGCCTGGGGGCCCACTACCACCATGACGCTGTGTACCCACGGACTCTCAAGGAAGCCCAGCTGGCTCTGGTCCAGTGCGGTGGGTGTGTTTTTTTTTTTTTCTAAACCGAGCTTAGTCAGGCCTCCTGCAGGGAATGATTAGACATGATAGCGTACAGTATCACACAGATTACGTCAGCAGGCCGCAGATTATTCACAGTGTTTTCACACCAGGGCCCCCCCCAAAGGAATCCTGCGACAAATGAAGCAGAGCTCAAACAGTCACAGCGAGTGCATGAAGTTAATATTTGGACAGACGTCATTCAAGCAGCCTTCACGGAGAACGTATGAAAAGACTCGGGAGACGTTAAGAGCTTCAGCAGAAGTGAGGTGAGGTGTCACTCGAGGGCTTCCTCTTCCTGTAGCTCAGAACTTCAGTAACATTTGACTTTTTTCCTGTATATTTATTCAGTAGGAAGAATCAGATATCTTTGGGGGAGGGGGAGACAACAACACTGCCATATGAAAAGCTCTATAATTTGAAACAACAGTTCAGATCTTTTGAAGTGAGGTGCAGTAAACATTAATGTCTTACCTGCTGTAGATAGCCCTTTGAACCGTTTTATTCTACGACCCAGCTGCCTTGGATCTGGGAATGAAGTTGAAGGAATTTATTGGGGTGTACTACTACTATTGGGGTGGGACTACTGACTTTTAAAAACACTACACATTGTATAGTATTTTATTAGGTGAACAGTAATATATTTCTATAATGTGGTTATCTCTGACTCAATTGATGATTTTATGTGCAGACTGAGTTGTGTGGGGCTCTTGAGCAGGGTCTGACAGACTCAGGAGGCTGTTAGTGAGATACACGTCTGACTTAAAAACAACACATAAATAAGAACTGTGATGAACCATCAGGGTGAGGAGCGATGTATGACAGCCTGATTCCGTGTAGAGACAGCCTGGCCCTTTAATTTATGTCATGAGGTGGAGTCAGGTTGTGAAGAAGGCTGTTACTTGATATGTGTTTCCTGGGTTTTTTTGGGGAAAAAAAATATCACTACCGGGGTCTGAAAACATCGCTCAGTTCGCAACACTGTCATTGTTATGACTACCGGCAGCGTGTCCCGTTTTGTAAACAACCTCGGAGCGCCTCACCTCTAAGCTCCAACTAAAACAGTCGCGAAGCGCAATCTAACTAAAACACAACAGATAAGCAAAAATAAGTTTTGCTTACACAGACCCCAGACCTCGAATCTTGAACTCCCAGCCAGACGCTGTGCCCCCCAGGCTTCTGGCACACAGATCTTAACTACAGTAAAGGCACGTCGGGTCAGCAGCTGCAGTGGTTCTTAACTTGGGTTCGATCGAACCCTAGAGGTTCGATGAGCCGGTCTCAGGGGTTCGGTGGAGCCTCTGCCACGGAGGTAAAGACACACTTGTGTAAAGTTGTGATGACACGCCCCCACTTGGCCATCACTTGCTGTCAGAGAAATTTCTTGGCCAATCAGTGCTGGCCCCAAAAAAAGTATTTTGTGGATTCAAAATGACAAAAAACAAATTAACTTTAAAACAATAAAAAAAAGGTTATAAAAAAAAAAAAAAAAACTGAAAACCCCCCAAAACAGAAATCAAAGTGTCAAAAAAGGACTCAGTAATGAGT